ACACCCCCCCAACCAAAAAAAAAGAAAAGAAAAAACATACCCCGTCATACCCCCCCCAATCCCCAAAAGTTTCTCAGCGGATTTGGGCCGTACACAGCAAGCGGAGTACGGCCCCCAACTCAGATTTGAAAAAAAATCAGTGGATGGCTGTTTTCTGACTGACTGGTCGGCAGACCGCCGACTGGTAGGCCCTACTGGTCGGCTGCAAAGCGGTTGGCAGTCGGCAGCTATGCAACCCTGTACGTATCCTTATTCGTTGCGAAGGGATGGGCTTCTTTTTCTTTCCAGGCTGGCTTTTCAGTGACAGCAAGCGATCTGCTTGTTTGGTTGTTGCATTTCGCTGTGCCGTGATTCTGCAGGTTTGAGAGGCCTGAGTTTGCGTTGTTATTTTCTGGGGCAGCACAGCTGCCAGGCAGGTGAGAGATTTTTTTTTCCAGGTGCTATGTTTTTGGTATACCCCCCCCCCCCCCCCCTCTCTCTCTCTCTCTCTCTCTCTCTGTCTTTGTTTTATATCTCTTGAAGCGTTTCCATAAACGTTTTTTTTCCCCTCTCTCTCACCCTCCCTCTCTCACCCTCTCTCTCCCAACCTCTCTCTGTCACCCTGTATCTTCCCCCCCCTCTCTCTCTCTCTCTCTCTCTCTCTCTCTCTCTCTCTCTCTCTCTCTCTCTCTCTTCTTTGTTTTGTATCGCATGAAGAGTTTTCAGTTGTTGGTGAAGTGCGGATTTTGTCTGTCCGTGCTGTTTTATAAATGACCTACGCTGTAGTCATGCTTGTAGCGCTTCTAATCAGTTGTTGGTGAAGTGCGGATTTCGTCTGTCCATTCTAATTAGTTTGTGGAGTCGTCGAACTGATGCGTGTGTCACAACGTGGTTGTTTTTGTTGCGTTTCGAGGTGAGGTCTGTGGTGATATTAGTATACGATCAGTGCAGTATGTAGCGCTTCAAGTCCGTGACAAAAAACGAGTCCATCATTCGGGAGATCGGTTTTGCATCTTTCTGGCTGAAAGAAATTGTTTCCACGGTTCCTTCAATTTGTACACTGTGATGACGTAATGCTTCTTTCATTTCATTTTTATGTGGTGAATGTGATCACAGTTCACGAGTACCAATGAATCAATCACATTTGCTACAAAAAAAACAAACTAGTTGGAAATCCGATCACGTTCTCATAGAGAAATGAAATGAACACTACAGTCTTCCCCGGAATACAACGTACGGTCATTATAGCTGAATTTGTGGTATCTTCCAGTCTAAATTCAGCTATAATGACCGTACGTTGTATTAGGGGGAAGACTGTAGTTGACTGTTTAGTTGGTGGCAGAAAAGTGTTTGACTTCACACACACACACACACACACACACACACACACACACACACACACACACACACACACACACACACACACACACACACACACACACACACACACACACACACACACACACACACACACACACACAGAGCGAGAGCCTCACCATGTACCTGTTTTGCTTTCCTCCTCCCTCCCCCTCCTCCACTCCCACGTCCTTGTCCTCCTGCATCGCCCCCCTCCTCCATCGCCCCTTTGCTGAGCAACCTGCAGCCAAACAAGGGAGGAATCACGAGACCGTTCCGTACAATGCGATGCACAGGTTGAACTGTGAAGCTGTCCCATCTCTTGACCTTGTGTGCCCCTGCCATGTGGTCTTCACTTGGATTTGTGTGCTTTCTCTGTGTGCGTGTGGAAATTCAGCTCCCCGTATGCACAGTGCTATGGCGGGCATCAGTTTGGGGTCTGGGCTGGGCAGCTGGGCGACGGGCGGGCGATCACACTTGGAGAAGTGGTGAACTCAGCCGGAGAGCGGTGGGAGCTGCAGTTGAAAGGGGCGGGTAAGACTCCGTACAGCCGCTTTGCGGATGGCATGGCTGTTCTTCGGAGCTCGATCCGAGAGTTCGTGTGCAGTGAGGCGATGTTCCATTTGGGCGTCCCAACGACTCGCGCACTCAGTCTAGTCGCCACAGGGGAAGGGGTCTTCAGAGATATGTTCTACGAGTAAGTTTCTTCGTTATGCCCATCCATTTATCCACCCGTCCGCCTATTTAGCCGTCTTTCCGTCCAGAATCCAGATCCATCCATCTATAATGCCCATCCATCTGTCGACCCATCTGCCTATTTAGCTGTCTTTCCATCCATCCATCCATAGATCGATCTATATTTTTTTCTGTCTGTCCCTCCATGCATCTACGCATCCATCCAACCATCTCACCTATTCATCCATCAATGCAACATACATACGTACATACATACATATCCTCCTCCCCCCCCCCCCTCTTCAAATCCACACACCTATCGATCTATCCGCCCATCCATTCGTCCATGTCCGTCCATGTGTCCACCCACCTGTTGCAATCATAAAATCCGTCCATCCGTCTGTCTGTCCATCCATCCCATTAGATCCATCTATACATATACATCGATCCATAATCAGGTTGTCCGTCTGTCAGTCCACCTGTCCTCCCATCCACTCGGTCATCTTTCCATCCATCCATCTATCTGTCTGTCCCTATGTCCGTCCATCCATGCATCCATCATTTCATCCTCATCTAGCTATCCATCCATCCATCCATGACTATGGAATAATTACTGATCGTTTTCTGATTCTCGTCCCTCTTCTGGTTCTAATTCCCTCCCTCCATCCATCCTTTCCGCCGGCAAGTCGTCTACCGATCCATCCATGCATCCATGTTTCAGCTCTAGCATCCGTGAAACCGCGTTTCAGCTCTCGCAAGTGGTGTAACTATGCACATAAGCACGGTTGTTATAGAATATCATTGGAGCTTGGATGCTTGGCCGCAGCACGTTCTCTCTCTTTTCCGTCAACTAGACAGGTGCAAGCACGCCTGAACTAGGTGGGTGTTCGGCATCGTGCTGTTGCAGAATGATTGGTGACCGGCTACCATCTTCACCCGAATAGACCGCCCAGTAATTATCGTCGTATCTGCGCTGAAATCTGTGCCAAATACAGCTATAATGACCGGGCGTTATATTCGGGTGAAGACGGTAGTTGTTGCGGCTCAGCTGTTGGCACCCGGCGTTAACTTAAGCATACATGGCTTTGAAAATGGATTTCAAGGATCGGGTCAGCCTGTCTGAGCTCTGTGAAACCGTGAGGGTAAAAGCTCAACGCCATGTCTCGCTGGGCCAAATGCTCAAAGATGTGACGAACAAATTGCCTTGATTACTTACTTACACCCAGGAAGTGTCAGGATCGCAGTGCTTCCCCTACTTCCTTGCCTGCACGTCCCCTTTCCCTTTCCCTTTACGGCTCCCCCCCCTACCCTCCCCCTTTTGAAAAAATGAATGCCCTTTTCCCCCCTTGTTTCGTACCAGGCTTTCAGGCTGGGCATCTGGCAGGTCTGCAATTTCTGTGCTCTATTTGAATTTTCAACTTCTGTATGCAGATGTCTGTGTTCTATTTGAATTTTGAACATCTGTAGGTCCTTGTCTTGTGTTCTATTTGAAGTTTTGAACATCTGTACTGCTCACCTAGGATTGAATTGAAAGAGGAGGCAGATTACCCAATTAACCGGAAACAGGAATGGGAATGACACTGTCCTTCGGGACATCCGTTAAAATTAGAACGATACAGAGAGAGAAGATTAGCATGGCCCCTGCGCAAGGATGACACGCATAAATCGAGAAATGGTCAAAATTAAAAAAAAAAAAAAAAAAAAGGAATGGGAATGACATCTCGTAACAACACAGCCTCTAGGTTTGCTGTCTGTGTTCTATTTGAACATCTGTACGTCGATGTGTGTGTTCTATTTGGACATCTATACAATGTTATACATGGTTGATGGCAACACAACACAGCCTCTAGGCTGGATGTCTGTGTTCTATTTGAGCATCTGTACGTGGATGTCTGTGTTCTATTTGAACATCTGTGCGTGGATGTTTGTGTTCTATTTGAACATCTGTACGTGGACCTCTGTGTTCTATTTCTCGAGCGTTTTTTTGTTTTGCTTTGTCTTGTTTTGTTTGCAGACTTCTCAGGTGTGCAGGATGGCGGTGTTTCATTGATGGCTTGAATTTTTTTTATTATTTTTTTTTTTCGACTTGGTTTTTGAGTGCGTGGTGGGAGATTTTTCTTTATGCTTTTTTTAATAAAATTCTGGATTATCTTTTTTTTTTTTTTTTTTTTTTTTTAATTTTTTTTTTTTAAATTCCTAATTGACTAAATATTAAATTATTGTCGTGGTTTTCTCTGCTGGCAATGTTTTCTGAACTTTTTTCCTTACTTCAGTGGGAATGTTAGGAGAGAGCCCGGCGCTGTGGTGTGTCGCATGGCACCCAGCTTTGTGCGGTTTGGGACGTTCCAAATTCATGCGGCCCGAGGTGGCGAAGACAACATCCTGGTCCAGAGAATTGCTGATTACGTCATCAAGTATCATTTCCCCCAGCTAGAGAAGAAAGGTGCAAGTACCGCCAGCAGCAGCAGCAGCTCGTGCAAGGAGGGCGCAGAGAACGGCGCGTCCGCAGAGATCCACGATGCTTCTTCAAGCGACGAATCAGGAAAAACCTACAACAAGTATGCAGGTATCCAAGGTCCTTTGTGCATTTCCTTGCGAATGATGTTTTTTTTTTTTTTTTTTTTTTTTTTCCGGAAGTTACGGTTGACGTCAAGCATTGCAGCAACATTCCCTGCTTTATTGGTAGCAATAGTAATGGAATTTCGTGGTCATGAAAACAGGTTTGGACTCCGGAGGTTCGTTTGTGCACACACAAAATACGAGGGCGGAAGTCGAAAGTAGGTAATTTGTACCTGGAGGAGGGGAAAGATTGAAATGAAGTTCAATTAATTATACGAGAATGAAGATAAGTGTGGAGCTTCATTTGTGCACACAGAAACAAGGCAGAAATCGAAACGCTTTGTAGTCTTTTACCCGCAGCAGCGAAATATATTGATGTCACTTGGATCCTATTGGTGGAATTTGGCATGAATGTAACGATCCAACAGAAACAGAAAAAGGCCGTTTTATGCGCTCGCGCCATTTTGCATGGTCTGATGACGTTGTCTGTGAGGGTTTACAGTTTGAAGTTCTCTGTGCTGTGTCCTTTATGACGTCTGTTAAAATTGGAACGATAGAGAGAAGATTGGCATGGCCCTCCCTGCGTGCGAGTCGGACACACGCAAATGGAGAGATGGTCGAAAAAAGCTTTTATGGGCGGAAAAAATAAATAAAAAAGAAGTTTTCTGTGCTGTTGCCGGCAAGTTGGCGCACGATTGTGTTGTGAAAAACTGCTGTTACTCTCAATGCAGTTCTCTCTCGTCTCTGGATGCGACTGTGCGTGGGGACCACGCACAGGTTTGTTTTTGTGGGCAGCAACCATGCAGGGTTTGGTATACTACTGTGGTTGCGAGTCTGCGTGGGGACCACAGGGTTTTGTAGACGGTCATGCATGACCACAGGTTTTTGTAGACAGTGTACGAACGACCGAATCTGACCAAACTGGTCGGTCTTGCTGTTTTTTTTTTTTTTTTTTTTTTTTTTTCCGCAAAAAACGTTGTTTCTTGTTTCCTAGCGACGGGTTGTGCAGAGTCTTTCAATGATTGTGTGTGGACGACAGGTTGTCGGCACAACCAACCATGCGTGACGTTTGTGGTAATCCTCTGTGGGGACCACAGGATCTGCGTGGACAGTCATAGCGTGACTGAATGCGATTTGTCGATGTCGTTTTCTTTGCCGGTTGTTGCTTTGTGGTTCCAGCATTGCTTGTGGAAGTCGCGGAGAGAACAGCGAAAATGGTCGCCAAATGGCAGGCGGTTGGTTTCACTCACGGCGTACTGAACACAGATAACATGAGCATTCTCGGGCTCACGATCGATTACGGCCCATTTGGTTTCCTTGAGGCATTTGACCCCAAGTACACACCGAATACAACCGATCTCCCAGGGCGGCGCTATTGTTTTCAGAACCAGCCGGATATCTGTTTGTGGAATATTGTTCAGTTTGTCAATGCCTTGCTGAGTGCTGAGCTGCTTACTACAAAGGAAGCTGAAGAGGGTGTTGCAAGGTATGTAGTATACTGTTATGAACATGATTGTCTGTTGAAATTCTATCAACACTCACTCACTGGAACTCCCGTACACGCCCACACATGCACAGAAGGAAGGGGAGAGGTAGTGGAGGGTCACACCGCACCGCCCAACAGACAGAACGCAGCGGAAGACTCAGAGAAGCGAAGTGACAGAATACACCATTCAGTGAATTCTCTCCATACAAGTCCCAACAATCATTCATAGAAGACAGCCGAGTGATCACAGCCAGAAATCAATGAAGAGATGACAACTCAAACACAGTATTACAACTGTTTATTAAACTCAGAGCATCATTTTCACTGAATAACCTCAGAACCCTGTTGCGCTACCCGCAGAGGGGTAGCGCCTCAACCCCACCACCCGGAACAGCTAAAAATAGCACCGAAACCCCAGGTAACACCCAGCGCCACCCTGACATCCAACTCAGTGGCCTGCGCCAAAGTGAAACAGAGTCCCAGAGGCAATCGCCACCCAGATGATGAAGAAGAAGCTCAGGGCCAACAGTCCCTGATGAAGATGACGTCCAGACGATGATATCCTCTGAGAAGATGCAGCTATGGCTGCATCGCCACTGGGACCCTACTCCTGAGGAGTGTCAGCAGTGCACCACGTGCTCCAATGCATCAGACCTCTGATAGCCCAGACCGCTTTGATTCCCAGAGAGTCAGATCGGACAGCGTTGACCCCAGTCTGGTCAGCGCTCCGAAGGTCTGGCTATGTCCGCCGTCTCCACCACCGGAATCAGCAACCACGACCTGATACCGTGTGCGCAGCAACTTCCACCACGAAGTGTCAACTGCCAAAAGCCCAGGACCGATGTCCCCATCCTATCTATACTCTACCACTAGCCTAGACCGACCTAGACCGGACTGACTGACCGACCGGTACCGTTTCTGTTTCGGCCTCTAGGGCCTCTCCCTACCCGGCTATAGTCTATAGGACCATCTATCAGCGTAGGCCCATAGGGCCCGCCTGTCCTAGGGGTAGCCCGGGTCTGCTATTCGCAGTTAGGATTGCTGTAGGAAATTCGAGTTAGTACTGGGCCCATATTTCCTATATTTACAAATATGTCCCTCACGAATTTCCCTTACAGGTAGGTCTCTCGGTTAGCCCTCAGCCAAACAAAATTACGAATCTGTCCCTACCTATGGTACAGCCTCGTCTGAGAGAGGCTACAGGCAACCTGGAACCAGCAAGTCATTGCAATACTATGGTAGTATCTACGGTATTGGTCACTGCGAAATACTTAGGCTTAGAGAGGGTGGTCCCCCACAGAATCCAAACACGGAGCGCGCGTTGTACTTCTTGAAATGAAAGTGTATAATATGACGCAGGCCCGCCAGGGGAGCGGCAAAGGAGTAGTAGTTTAAAATGGCACAGAGAAATACTTAGGCTTAGAGGGCGGTCGCCCACAGAATTCAAACATGGCGCACGCGTTGTACTTCTTGAAATGAAAGTGTATAATATGACGCAGGCCCGCCAGGGGAGCGGCGAAGGAGTAGTCTTCAACGGATTACTGCTGCTGTTTTAATTCCAACTATACTTTTAGCAAATCGATAGATTCAGATATTCCAAGCAAATTACAACAAAGAATTCATTATCCCATCCCTGTGAATGATGATTCTTTAGAGTTTATAACTTTATATATCTTGTTTGTCATTTAATTACTCAAATAGTCAATTACTCTCGTATCGTATACTGAGACTTTTCTTTCTTAGCACTATGCTATCATATGAGCAACGGAATTCAACATTTATTGTGGGATTTAGGGCACAGCTTAGATTTATCAAAAGTGTACACTTCCGGAACTACGATCGCCCGCTATCTATTGTCTGGGGGGTTGAGCAATTCCGAAAGATGCTTCGATTTACCATAACCAGGTTCATCTACGTGAGTAATGAATAACCTCATGCATGATGGATGACTCCAATCAGGAAGTCGCCCGATATCATACAGTTATGACTCTGGCGAGTCTCTTCGAGTGTCTCCAACCACTCTGGCCAGACCTTTCTGCTCGAGCGAGCCTCTACGAAGAAATGTGGCTCGAAAGATTCATTACTCAAGTTGGAAAGCCGTGTGATGTACGACATCTTGCACGGTTTGGTGGGCACTTTAGTAGACTGGACGGGTGAACGGGGCAACCGTTGCAGTGGAACTTTTGAGTCTTGACCCAATATTTAGAAGTTACTTTTTTATTTCCTTGGGCAGTTTCTTATGCCACAGAGTTTTGCGTTGGGAAATATATGAGCATGGTCCATCGGGTCGTGCAAATGGCCGACTGTTTGTCCGTCTGTGGGGACTTTGGTATTACGATTCCCTTTCTCTGTTTTTCGAGATTGCCTATGCTTGTCGTCGTTTTGTTGCGAGCGCTGTTCTTATGCGTTTCATTCGCTTCGACCACGAATCCTCGGCCAATTTTCATGCTTCAGCGGTAGGGGGGAAAAGGCATTTTTTTTTTTTTTTTTAATCTTCGGGGTTAGTTGTCCTTCAGGATGTACATCCGTTACAATTGGAACAATACAGAGAAGATTAGCATGGCCCCTTCGCAAGGATGACGCACATAAATCGAGAAATCTTCGGGGTTGGGGGTTGGGAGGGGGGTGTTGGGGAGTGGGTGAGGTGGGGTGGGTAGCGTTACACTTGCACGAATCTCTCTCCCTGTGCAGGTCTTGCCTGGAAGTCTGACACATGTTCTCTTACATCACGGCTGCTCCCGATGGAATTCGGACGCCGTGGCGGTGTGTGTGCTGGTTGCCGGTGCCGGCAGTGCGGGACATTTTGAGGCACCGAGTTTGGTTATTTTTTGCGCTCATGGTATTTGACGATAAATTGAGAAAACACTCAGGGGTGTGTAGATTGAGTGCTGGTCTGTCTGGGAGAAAATATTGGAAAATAATAATATCGAACAGGCCCAAAACTTTTTGGCTTCTTCCTCCAGGCTTGGGGAAATCCATAGATTCGGATGATTTACTTCGGGAACAGGGGTGGTTGAAAAACTTTATGCAAACCACCGGTGTGAAAGCGAAACGTCTCCCCGTTTTTGCATTTGTGGTTTGAACCTAGGTCAGGAATGTGGAGATGTTCATGCAGCAATACAGTCCTGCTTATGGTGCAGGAGGTCGGGGTAAAACGTCAGAGGTGGTTAAAAAATTGTGGTTAAAAACTTGCGGTTAAAAAGTTGTAAATACTAAATACTACATACTAATAATGGTGTGAAACGTCTGCCTGTCGACATTTTTGCATTTTGAACCTGTTTCAGGTATGCAGAGACGTTTCTGCAGGACTATGGTCTGATCATGGCGCAGAAGCTCGGGATAAAGCAGTACGACAAGCAGATGGTATCCGATCTGCTGGCACTGATGGCCGCCGATAAGGTCGACTTCACAAATTTTTTCAGGGCCCTTGGTAAAGTGAAGGTTTCAGCTGAACCTGGTGAGAGCGGCGATGGAACAGATATCCTCAGCCCACTGGAACCAGTCCTAGGGAAGGAGTTGAATGAAGAGAGGCAGGGCAAGTGGAAGGAGTGGATGCATCGATACCGATCTCAGGTAGGTAAACGGAAGGCTCGCAAAAGTAATCTACAACTTTGCGACCTTCTTGAAATTACGTGGTCGCAAAAATTCTGTTGTGTGTGTG